CCAAAGATTTCTTATCCAGTCCAAGGCCTTCTCTAGTCCAGCTAAATCGACCCCAAATAGATTTTTCTGATGAAGATTCAGTAGAAGTTATCAAAGGTTTTTCTCAATGTTTGCTTTTGAGATTATAATTTCCTATGGTTCTCTCCCCAACGGTGCGGAGATGATAATTCCACCCCAGGTTTTTCTCAAACGTCCGCTTTTGAGATTATAATTTCCTATGGTTCTCTCCCCAACGGTGCGGAGATGATAATTCCATCCCAGGTTTTTCTCAAACGTCCGCTTTTGAGATTATAATTTCCTATGGTTCTCTCCCCAATGCTGCGGAGATGATAATTCCATTCCAGGTTTTTCTCAAACGTCCGCTTTTGAGATTATAATTTCCTATGGTTCTCTCCCCAAATCTGCGGAGACGATAATTCCATTCCAGGTTTTTCTCAAACGTCCGCTTTTGAGATTATAATTGCCTATGGTTCTCTCCCCGATCCTGCGGAGATGGTAATTCCCACCAAGATTTCCTCAAATTGCTGTTGAGGTTAAGGTCATCCAAGGTTCTCTTACCGTTCCTGCTGAAGTAGTAATCACCCCTGGTTCATTCATCATCTTTTGAAACTCCAGATTCAGCTCCTGTAACCAGTCAGGACATATCTATACAAAGCATCTGAAGACCAACTCCTGCAACATGTCAGGTACTCATTTTTCTTTTGCAGGTACGCAAGTTCTCGCTAAGGAATCCCTTACGCGATCAATATCCAGATGGCATCTATAAGCCCATCCACCTTCCATCACCTCTTAGCATGGCATCTATAAGCCCATCATCCTATCCATCAATCTCTAAATGGCATCTATAAGCCCATTCCATCATCACTGCTACTATGTGAGCGCAAATTTCTGGGCACTCTAGTGTTCAATCATCTTCCACCTTCGGATTACGAAAGGCACGTCAGCCAATCTGCATCCTCAGGTCTAAGAAGATTGAACAGGGGCAACTGTTGTACCCCAAAATTTTCCCTCCCATATTCTTCAAGAAATTGCCAAGTCAAGCTTCAAAATTCCCCAAGGGTTGCACAGTGTAAGAGCCTCCTAAGCAGTCAAAATTAGGGTTTTGGTTCTGATCAAGAAAATGAAGTTTCCAAGGGTCCAATCAAGTCCCACATGCCAATAAATATGGTCAAGCATCCTCATACCAAGTTTCAAGACTTTCAGCACAAAATTGCACAGTCAAAAACCCTAATTGCACTACAGTCAACTGTAGGGGCAAAATGGTCATTTGACAGTCAAAAGTTCAAATTTTTGGTCAACATCTCATTTTGAAGCCACAAACATCATTTGATCAATGCTTGATCATGATTCTCAAAGCTTGGCTCAAAAATCATCAAGATGCAAAAGTTTCCTTATTTGGACAGTTGAAAAAGTCAACTGTAAATTGACCAGGGCATAACTTTCACATGGATTATCAGAAAAATTCCATCCAATGCTCATCTTGAAGGGGAAGACATTTCCTACAACTCATCTTCACACTCCAAGTCCAAGAAATTCTCTCACAAAAAGTTATCAATTTCAACATTATAGGTCATTTTCAAAAGTCAACAAAAAGGGACTTTAAGTCAAAGACCATAACTTGAGATTGGTAAATCAAAATGACATGGGACCAAAGACATTGGTTATAGGACTTCAAGACCTTTCCAAAATGTCCAAGAACATGATCAAAGCTTACACATTGAGCAAGATATGCATTGGAGAAGTTGGGAAATTTTTGTGAAATGGCCAAAATCATTTATCCTTGAAATTTCATTTTTTGACAAAAAGGGCCCACTTTTTCCACTTGAATTAACTTGGCCATGCTTCCCACGTGTCCCACCTTTTATTTCAAATTTTTAATTTAATTTTTTCATTTTTAATTGATTTTATTGGATTTAATTAACTTTAAATCTTTTAAAATCAAAGGAAAATCAAAAAGTTTAATTAAAAGGAATATTTGGTCTTAACTAACTTTGACTCATCATTATGCAACTTCCCAATTTCGTTTCAAGGCCAAATGGAGCAATATTTCAAAAATTGGTTCAAAAAGGAAAGTTTGTTAAGGGAGTTTATGTTAAAATCTCAAGCTTGAATGCATGGTATGATGAGCCTTAATGTTGATCAGAATCACCTACATAACCTAGAGAAAACTATCACAAGGGAGAAGAAAAAAACGTGAGAGAGAGGCAGCCAAGAGAAATTTCTTTTCAAAAATTCCAAAGAATTGCACTAAGATCGAACTCAAGGATTCAGCCATCCACAAGACCTCCCACCCATCCTATCGTGATCTACAGGCAAAATAAGGTATAAACACACTCTTTTCATATAACCATGCATGTTGAAACTGTAGCTACATGAACATCCATTTTGCAGAATTTCCATGGATCGTATTTTTGATTATAGCTTGATTTAATCCCTACTAACCATACCTTTGAGTTCAAGTGGATGTTTAGAGCAGGTCTGGGCTATCGCTTGGGATTTTTCGTGGCCAAAACGTGAACCTCCATGGCTAGGGTTCAGATTATGTGGAATTGCGTTTTGATGAAAACAGGCCCATTTCCTTTTTCCCTTGAATTTATTTTCTTTTCTATTTTATTTTAATTTATTTAATTTGCTTTTTTATTAACAAAATTATTTTTTCTTTTTATTTCAAAAAATCACAAAAATATTCTTACCCAAATAAATTTTAGATTTTTCTTTTTTTCTAAATTTAATTAATTAATTAGGTTTTTTTATTCTAGGAAACTCTAAATTATTTTGCAATATTAAAATTGATTAGACTTAATTAGATTGTAAATACTAATTTAATTAGTTTTATTTCTTAATATAAAAACCAAAAAAATCAGGAAATCATAAAAGAGGTATAAAAATATTTTATTTAATCAATTAATAGTTCCATTTTTGTAAATAAAATTCAATAATTAATTTAGTTTTGATTTTAGGTTATTAACTTTAATGCTTTTTTTAATAACTAAAAAATATAAAAAAATAAGTCTTTAGCACATTTTCATCTTTTTAAATAAATATTTTATTTTCTTATTATAATTATTATTAACCATTAATTAATTTCGTAAATACTTGTAATTAATCAATTAGGTTTAAATTAGATTTAACTTAGGTAATTTTTCTTTAATAAATTAAAAAACAATTAGAACTAGAATTATTTGACTTTTAATTAATTTAATTTTCTTTAAATCCACAAATCCAAAAAACATAAAAAATAAGTCATTTCCTTTATTTAACTTAATTATTTTAATAATTTTATTTTAATTCCGTTAAAGGGTCCAACGCCCTCGCATTCGATTACATCTTCGTTTCGCGCGTTTTATTTATTTCTTTTTGTGAATATAATGTACTTGCTCCAAAGCCCTGTAATAGTTAATTAGACATTTATTTTCTGCATTTTATTTTAAATCGGGTCTGGATTAATTTGGCGTTGTAGACCCGCGCCTTTGTAATAGCGTAGGACCTTTATCTTTCCCGCACTTTAAATTCCCGCACCTTTTAACTGTTAAACAATAACATGAAAGAATGAATGCCCAAAAATAAAAATAAAGCGTAGATCACCAATGCATGAACAAGACAAAAATAACTGAATCAGACACACAAATCACACACCACCCCTAGGGTACGCCTCACTGTTGCCTTGCCTCGAAAGGTGATCGTCGAGTAGAGGATGTCTTAGTAAGTCCTCATGATCCGGGAACCTGGCATGAGGGTAGCTTCTAAGGTGTCTTCCCATTGCTCTGGTGATCACCATGTCCCGAACCTCGAATTGACCCGAACACCTCCAACGGTGGTGCTACCTACCTCTCAATGGTGGGATGGCACTACTTTAAGGAAATTTACACAGACGAATTCCTTAGGGTGGGTAGGTTCTCGTAGATACTTGCTCTAATCTCAAAAAACAAATCAAAAATACTTTTCGCACCAACACATTTTCAAAAGCTTTCGAAAGCAATTTTTCAAACACTCTTGAGGACCGATACAAGAGTCGAACTGGAATTTTCAAAGAAACTTTTTAAAACCCACATTGAAAAGCAAACAAACCATTTTTGAAAACACAATGAGCAAGTATCTAAGAGCCCATGGATAACCATGGATAGAAAGGGTGCTAATACCTTCCCTTTCTATAATCTACCTCCCGAACCGAGAGCAATCTCTTTAAGGGATTTTTCTGTGCTTTTGTCCTTTCCATTTGGAGAAAATAAAAGACGGTGGCGACTCTTGCTTCCGCGACATTTCGCGAACCAGCGTTAAACAGTCAGTTACAGATCCACCGATCACACCATGGCTACTAAAGTCCCCTCCCTTTTCTCTAGTTTGCAATAGGTGTGATGAGACAATAAAATATTTAATTATTGAGTAAAAAATGAAAACTTTGAATGAAATGGGACATATTTATGATTCATAAGTCCAAACTACAAATCAATAAGATGAGAAGTTTGGCTAGCTATTTTTGTAACATTGTTGGATCATTCATTTGGTTTCTCAAGGATTTATAATTTCTGACAGAATACTCAAGGGGACTTGCTTTTCACTTCAAGTCTGGTTTTGTTGATATTGGTGAGGAGGAATTGTTAAGCCTTTATCAAATCAAGGAGCCTATATTCACCACATGCCAAATCATTGAGCATCCAAATATTATTTAGAGTTGGTTTTATACTAATTATTTAGAGAATAGTTAGATAAGTCAGTGTGTTATGTTGTCCAAAGTGGAGATCAAGAAGGCTCTTTCCAACACGATTCCCCAAATATTTAAGGAAATAATGATAAATGCATAAACACGCTTAGACAAACAATCTGACATACCCATCGCACCATTTCTAAATATTATAGTTGGAGCAACATTTTTATTCAGTTCTGGAATCGTAAAATTGACAACCACAAAAGCTGTGGTGATTCATATTTCGTAGCATTCAAAACAAACAAAACAATGCAAAACATGAGCACAAAAACTAAAACCATCCTCATACATGAAATCATATATAAGATTTTCCCTCATCATCCTCCTCATCAAAACAAAGATGTTTCCCTTTCGACATCGACAATCCCTTCAAATGCAACACATTAGACTCATAATCACCACCACCAACACTTTCATCTTCTTCTTTTTTCAAAATCTCATCATCACTGTCATAAACAAACCTTATATGTTTCCCAACAAATTTCAGAACCGCTTTTTAATTCACATTAACCTTGTTCAATCCTTCACACAGTTCATCAACCCCCAAACCACATTCATAATCATCTTCATCAACATCATAATAGTCCTCTTCATCATCATCGTCATCATCATCTTCCTTAGCTATTTCTTCCTCCACATCATCTTCTTCATTGTTACTGTCATTCACTTGCATTGACCAGATGGGTGCATCATCATCAACACTGCAGCTTCCAACAAAACTCCCTTGTGTTGTTACTTCCTGATAACTCTCCTCAGAGTTGTATTCTTCAGACACTTGAGATTTTTCTGAGAAATCCAAGGACTTTTATATCTCATACTTTTCATCTTCCTCCATATTCATCACTTGAAATAAATTAAAAAACTGATTAATTATACAATCTATAAAACAAAATCATTCAAGAGTTATATAGATTAAGATATAATTGTGCCTACTTTCATTAACCTGTTCTATAAACTAAACTTCTCCCAAAGTACTATATACACAAAATATGATAATTGCGGGTACTAACAAAATTTATAGGATGAATTACTAATCAGTATTGGGGAGTAGAGTTGACAATGACACTTATTTTATGATAAAAGACTAAAAAACATAATTACCAGATCGAGGAGTGCAGGTTGAGGTGAGTGAGTCAAGACTCTAGCTGCCAAAGCAGTAACCAGAACAGTGGCATATCCAGACAGCACATACCATATGCATTTGTGCCCCTTTGAAGAGTGTAACTCACTCAGATTTATTGTATCCCCACTCTTGTGATAATCAAATCCAAGGACCAAATCCAGGAGCATACCTAAGATAGCCTACAAAAGGTAAGCAAAATTTATGAAGCACCAAATGCATAATTTTAGAAGAACCAAGACAGTCAATTTTTTTTAAAATCAGAATAAGCTTAGGTCAATACGAAACTATAATGGCATTTTAAGATTTAAACCGCAATATTTATTTGACAGTGTGTATTCAAACACATGTGATACACTTCGACGTTTATAACACTTTGATCATAATATTGCACAACTCAAAGCAGAAATTTCACTTAAATCAATGTGGATGTAGTAGAGGAGAAGTTTCATGTGGATTGTTGCATTGCTAAACACCAACCTCCATCAGAAACAACATGTATAGAGAAAATACAGTGGGAACTATGATAATTATCTAAGCACTTGGGAAACTCCCTTAAAATCTAGATATCAAAGGAGCAGAACCAAACAACTTAAATACTCAATTCCCTCGCATAGCACTTCCTCTATTATTCTTCCAAATTCTTCAATTCCCACTTTTTTTTTGTCATTTCTTACCTCCTCCTAATGATGTATTATTGGAAAACCAATTACCACATGTAACACGGTGGGGGAACTGACTTGGGATGTTTTGCGTTTGATCGCAATTGTGCGGATAGCAAGAGTTTCCACCGACTTTTCTTTTATCCAATAAAGGAAAGGGTGAAAAGAACAGGAAAGACCTTTGAGATTATTTTCTTGAGTTCGGGGGGTAGATTATGAAAAGGGAAGGTGTTAGCACCCTTTTCATCCATAGTTATCTATGGGCTCTTAGTTGCTTGCTAGATCACTTGCTTTTGTTTGAAAGTGTGTTTTATGGTGGGTTTTGAAAGTATTTTTGAAAAGCGCCTTTGTTTAGGCAAATTTTGTAATGATTCTCGTCTGTATAAGAATGTATACAAAGTGTTGGACTTTTGAAAATATTTCATGTTTTGAAAGTGTTTGGTATATTTGAAAAGATCTTTGTTTTTGAGGATGGATTGTGAGCAAGCAACTAAGAACGTTTCTACCTACTCAAAAGTCTTTCGTTCATTTCTCTCTTCCTTTGACATTGATATCTTACCATTGATTGGTAAGAAGCTCTATCTTTGGATGTAAAGGGACGGGCGTGGGTCATCGTATAGACATGATAGCAATATTGTGAGATATCTTAGCATTTTTCTTGAGGAACTAAGATCATCTGTAAGGCAACATTAGAAGCGTCATCGAGGAACTCTGATATTGTATTTTTCGATTGTTTTTGCTAAGACGTCTCACATGCATAACATGACCATTTTCATAAGGCAACAAGTGGAGATAACCCTAGAGATGCAAGTGTGCAAGTGTTTGTATTTAATGCTTGATTTGTCTTGGATTAGTGTTTTCTAAGATTGATTTTATATTCTCATACAAATCCTAATTACTAGCATTTATATGAAAGCGATAAATTGCGGAAAGTAAATATTCTACGCTATTACAATCACTAGGGGATGGGGTGCACAAATTTACAAATGGGGGTTGCAAGAAATTAAAGTCCTAATTATCTATTACAACCATATTTAAATAATGTACAAGAATTGAAATGTAAAATAGATTTGTTTTGTTTTGGTTAAGAGAAGAAATAAATTTGCTTAAGGAAATGTTTTTAGTCTTTTTGTTTTAAAAGAAATAAAATAAAGCATGTGGATATAAAGTATTTTTTGGTGTTTTTGATTAATGAAAATAAAGTGATGATGAAAATAATAAGGGAATAAGAGTTAGAGTCAGCGCGTTGCTGAAAGAGGAGAGAGCAGAAGTTCCGACACAGGCGCGCTGCAAATCAGAAAGTAAATGTTAGTGAAAAAGGGAAAGCCAGAAGTTCTGGATCCGGACGCACTAAAGTTCTGGGGTTGCTGGGAACAAAGGAAAGCCTAGAAGTTCTGATTTGTTGAGAAAGCCTAGAAGTTCTGATTGCTTGAGAGAGCCTAGAAGTTCTGATTGTTGGAAACCTAGAAGTTCTAGTGTTACTGGCAAGCTAGAAGTTATGATAATGGGTCAATGAGGTGTCATTGTCGTTGGATGGGAATATCTAGAAGTTATGGTCCGGGAGTACTATTTTGACAAACAAATGGGAGGGGATTTATCTAGAAGTTCTGGTCCATGGTTATTGTCTGAGACATAATGGGGTAAAAATGTCAAGAAATGTACATAAAAAGATGTTTCTGGGGCTAGAACTCAGGACCCTTAACACTAATGCCTTATATGCGCGCTCTCTACCACTGGGGTGGCTATACATCTGGTATTAGAAACAAAAATATAAACATATACTACAAAGTAAGTTCTGATGATGAACTTCATCTTCCTCTTCGTGCCAACCAGAATATTTGCAACTTAGTAATTTCTTAATAAAAATGGAAAATGCAAACATATAAGTTATGGCAAATTTCATCATGGTTTCAGAAATACAAAGCCTCAACACTGTAAACCAGAAGCAAGCATGAACTTTGCTAATCCTAATTCTGAACCGTAATTTCCTCAAGGAGTTCTGATCTGAAATTCTCTCTACTTAGGCCATATAAATGAAATCTATAAATATGTACAGAATCAAAGTCATGATATATACATTGTATCTTTGAAAACGCAAGCCTAACAATGCCTAAGTAATGAGATAAAAATCAGAAGAAACTTACCTTGCAGCTGGAAATTGTTCTGTGAATTAGAGCATGGTTCAGACTGTTGTGATGTTCTGATCAGATTTCTCAAGTTCTCAAAAAGCTAAAGAAACTCTTAACTTGAGCTATGATTGGTGGGAAAGTTCTTGAGCAGTCAAGGTGCAAAGTTCTGTTTTGTTTTTTGAAATAGAGAGTGGTGAATACTGTTTTACAGTTTGAAAACAGAAGTGGGGAAAGTTTCTATGTGTATTCTAGAAATTGTATGGATGATTTGGTCAAGAAACACGCAAGGAAAATTAGAGTTTGGATGCAAAAATCAGAAACTAGCAGGTTTTGTGTTTGGGCTGTAGTTTCAGGTTCTTGGGAACTTTCAGCAAGGTTTCAAGGCTTTTTTCCAATCTTTTCGACCTCTCTAACAGTTGCAAATGAAGTTTAATTTATAGGCAAAGGATTTAGAAGCTTGGAGAAGTCAAGAGTACAACCATCATGTGTTATGGATCGTTGACTTGTTTTTGAAGCAAGTTAAGACAAGCAAGTTTCAAGGAAAGGTAGGGTGGTTAGCAGCTTTAATCACGACTAATCTGATTTTATAGGAATGATTTGTGGAGAAGTACACTCAGAAGCAAAGTAAAGTATGGGTTCAAAATAAACTTTGTACAAAAGTTTTCTTTTCAAGGACAGTAGTGGTACTTTCATGCCACACATGGGAAGATCTTTTGGATAAAGGCTTAAACATTGGGATAAAGACTCAAAAGTGGATGTAAGCATTAAATGATGATGATATTTAACAAGCAAGAAAGCCTGCAACACGTGATTATGAAGGATAGCTTGAAACTGGATCCGAAGTTCAGCATAAACGTAACTTAGAACAAATGCCAACTTCTGATCTTTGATTCTTTCTGCTCCAGCATGATCTGAAGGAGTTCTCAGACTTTTTAGAAAGCTTGTAACATGCTTTGTAACTCCTATTTGAATCATCTTTGCAAACTCTGATTGTGCCTACGTGAAAACTGACCCACAAGTTCTAATCAAATTCTGACTTGGAAATGCTCAGAATTTACTAAGTGTTTTAGTTTCATGGACGTGTCTTCAAGAATTTATAACTTGAAATCCCAGCATTTCTAGGAGAAGTTCTATTCTGCAATTTTTTAGACCTTATTGAGATCTTCAACTCTTGCGTCAGAATTTCTTCCTGAATCAACTTGCATCATGATGAAAATTTGGCCAGAAGTTCTGAACTTATCATACTTTCTTAACACTTAGAAAAATTTCTAAGTGTTTAGAACTTTGACTTTTCCAAAGTAATTTTGACTTTTGATTTTTTAGATGAACCAAACTTCTTATTGTACCTTATCTTGATGAAATGTGATTCTTGAAACTTAATTTTGATTAAAAGTCAAAGTTTGACTTTTCAGTGTGCATTTTGACCATTTTGCCCTTGTGTCAATTCCAAACCTAAATTGATGTATTAGTGTTGCGAACTTGGTTCATGGAATATCTTGTGAGAAATTTCTTGAGAAATGAGAGAGAAAATTTTGGGGTACAACAGCTGCCCCTGTTCAATCTTCTTGAACTGAAGAGTTAGATTGGCGAGTCTGCCATTCGTGACTTTAAGGTGGAAGATGATTGAACACTAAAGTACCCAGAAATTTGCACTCGATGATGTGTTAGTTGACCGTGTAAGGAATGGGCATAGAGATGCCATTCAGAGTGACTGGGGAAAGTATCAGGATAAATATTTTGGTTGATTTATGCTGAAATAGTAGATGTCTTTTGCCTGATGATTTTTCCTGTAAGGAAAATGATTAGTTGCATGCAGATGTATGTATGGCGTAATGATGTTTTCAAAGTAAATGAGATTATGATGTATGCATTTGTCATGTATGTGTTATGATTTATGAATGTGATGCATTTATTGCAGCGTGTCTTTGTCTAGGAAAATAAATCCTTGACAATATGATGGGGAACCTTGGGACGCTGAATCCCGAACCGCTGTTGGAGAGTAAGTGTATCTTCAACTTTATTTAGAATGTTTCCGCTGGTGTGATACGGTGGGAGAACTGACTTGAGGGTTTTGCGTTTTATTGCAAATGTTGCGGTTTAGCAAGAGTCGCCACCGACTTTTCTTTTATCCAAAAAGGAAAGGTGAAAAAGCACAGGAAAGACCTTTCGAGATGTTTTCTTGAGTTCGGGGGTAGATTATGAAAGCGGAAGGTATTAGCACCCTTTTCATCCATGGTTTTCCATGGGATCTTAGTTACTTTCTAGATCACTTGCTTTTGTTTGAAATTGTGCTTTGTGTGGTTTTTGAAAGTATTTTGTAAAGAGGCCATTGTTTAGGCAATCTTTATAATGATTCTCGTTCGTAAGAATGTATACAAA